GTCCAACTCCCATGCCCCGAGACCAGCATCATATGGTTCGATCTAACAGTCATAATCGGATTCGATTGCCCAATCGATCCTAAGACTACGAATATCTATTTTAAACTATATCAGAAGAGTTTATCCGGCAAGGTTTCCCTGACTCTTCTTTCGTTGATAACAGTCTATGGACTAAGCAATATCACTAACACTCTTGAATATGTATCAAAACATAACTTTATTTTATTTTATAAAATCAGTGAAACAATAATGTCTGACATTTGTCATTTCACAAATAACAAATTACATCCTACTTTATGGACACATTTCCAACACGATCATCTTCGGATTTAGGCTGGATTGGTGGGAGGCACGCGGGGGACGGGTTAGCTGGGTGGTTCTGCTGCGGATCGGGTGGTCTCCGTCGTTGTAGGCCTTCTGCCGACGTTGAGGGTCCCAACCTAAGTCGTGGTTGGGTTCGTGCTGCTGTGGGAGGGTAGTCTGAGGGCCTTTTGGCCTTGGCATGGGTTTGGCCGTGGTGGGGCTGTGATGGCTTCAGTGGTTGGTGGCCGGAGTTGGGAGATGAGGACTCCTAGTTGGCTGGCGTTGAGGGATCCCGTGTTTGCAGATCACAGTGGGATTGCTCTCTAGTTTTGTGTTTATTGTTGTTTTCTGTTGTAATAAAGGCAACGTTTATTCACCCTCACATTGTAATAAGGGCGGTGGTCTCCCGACCTAATCCTCATTTATTTTTTTGTTTAATTTTAGTTTTTAGTGTCTAGTATGAGGTCGGGTGTATGTCCACTCATAAAGTGGTCTTGGTCTGGCTAGAATATGTTCTAGGCCGCGTAGATGTCCCCACTTCATGGGGGTTTATGATGTGTCCCTCATAGCCATGAGGCCTTATTTGTTTGGGAGGTGTCTCTTTTCTATAGAGTCTTTAGTGTGCTCGTTTATAGTATGCTGAGGTAGTTTCCTATTGTCGGGTCTCAGGAGTGCATTTTACTCTTCGATTGGTCAGCGAATTTGCATCGAGAGAACTGTTTATCAGTTTTTCCTTTAATGCATTTCCTTTTTTTTTTAAACTTCGCTTTGGGATGATAATTAGAATGACTCGGTTCAACATTATTAGTGGAGTTCAGTCGGACCATATACATCGACACGAGTTAATTAACAATATAGTTAGGTCTTTCCCATTGTTTTTAATAATTGACCAAACATGTGCCAGCTTGCATTATACTACTCTTTGTCTATTTTAAACTCTGCATAATTTTAATGATCAGATCTAACCGTTATTCTATAGAGACACTCGACCCAAAACAGACCCATATTTTAATTGTAATAAATAATAATTCAGAAAGCACATTTTGGCTTTGTGGTTTGAACAAATAAAAAAAAAGCAGCTAATAAAATATTGATGTGCCCATGTTTTCTTTGTAAGATTTCCTTTTTTATGACTATATTTTTTTTAATTAATTGTCAATTATTCTCCAGCGAAATCAAATATTAATGTGTTTTGAAAGTCAAATTCTTATAATGCAGCACTTCAACAAAAAATTCTCCATGGTCAACGTAGAAATTAAAAAGATGGTTTATTATCATAAGACGAGTTTTGTGAGTCAAGCGTTTTTTACATGAAAGAAGAAATCAACAGGTTGCAGTACTGATCCTAAAACAATGAGTATTGACCATTACATAAAACGTTAATCCTCGGTTGAAAAAAATAGTTATTGATATTCCTGGTATCACAAAAGTCTCTACGAAAAAAGAAAAAAAAAAGTCCTGATCAATACAATTATACATATATATACATAAATATTTATATAATACCAATAGAAAAAGAAAAATATATATCAGGACCGATCAGATTTTACTTGCTTTTCAAAGAGCTAATTACTTGTCAACGTAAATAGCTCAAAAGGTTCGAACCATTTCATGCTACCAACGTTACTAATGGTAAGAATTTATGAATGAGATTTCGTATAATTAGGGACAAATTGAGAAATAGTCCATATATTTATGAAGAATATAGCTTCATTTAATTGCGTTTTATTTTATTTTATTTTATTTTTTTTTTAGAAATTGCATAGAGTGACCGCTTCTGGCCACCCTAATTAGTAAATTTCCTCAGCTTTTATTTTAGTAAAGAGATTATTATATACGTCTATACTTATTAAGAATCGAGAATTGCTGTACATATCATACATAATAATTTTTCGCAGAGGTGATCTTTATTTAGCTCTTTAATTATTGCTTTCCTCTTTCTTACAAAATCAATGATTAACATTGAGTATTAGAATCCCATATTGGCTGGAGATATTGGCATAATCCGCGTAATAAGGTAAGGACAATCCTCTCCTAACAAGCCGGTTTTGTTAGGTTGAGTTGGGCCCAATATCCTTTGATTTTTATAAAATGGTATCAGAGCAGGCCCAGTTTTGCAATGTTAGGTCCCCCAATATCGACTTATTCACAGCGATTTGGCATGGTCCACACTGTGCGTGAGGGGGCGTATTAGAATCCCACATTGACTGGAGATATTGGCATAATCTGCGTAATAAGGTAAGGACAATCCTCCCCTAACAAGCCGGTTTTGTTAGGTTGAGTTAGGCCCAATGTCCTTTGATTTTTGTAAAATTGAGAGAATAATTGATCATTAGTTTTGAAGAAGCGGCCATTTATCTAATTTAACAAAGCTTAGAACATCTATCTACTTATTAACTACATTTACTTAAAAAAAAAAAAAAAACTATATTCACTTCCAACCAAAAATAAAACTATACTCATCTCCACGAATATTTGTAGTTCAAAATCCGTCATCTCTTATTTATAAAATGAGATACAACAATAAGTTAACTAAAAACCATCAATTTAATAGAGTAAGTGGTGGTTCTTGTTGTCGTGTTTCTCATTTAAGAACTTAGCGTTCCACATGTTAGCTAGAAATATCTTTTTTGTTAATTTGTGAATGATTCTGATTAGAGTGGTCCCTTTAGGTATTCAAGATATTGTTATGATGGAGTTTATTTACTCGACTTGATTAAATAAATATACTCTGGCAAAGTTCTGAATCGACCAATTTTCATTAAATTTTTATTAAAAAGCTAACACTTTTTTTTATCCATTATAATTTAAATGTGATTTAACAACTTTACACTATGTCTCGTGGAATTTTTTTCCATATATACATATATATATATATCCTAAAACATGATTCTCTTATAGATTAACCGCAGAATTATTGCATGAAAATCGAGGCATTTGTAAAAGTAACTTAATAGAAAAGTTTTATTAGTAAAATAATTTTTTTAAATTTTTATTTACAAAATGACTACGGAACGATCATGAATGACCAATTTTTACAAAAAATGACCGGATAGTCGTTCTTCATAAAAAATAAAGAAGGTCATTTTACTAATTTCACTTGTTGGATAGTCATTCTAGCATATTTCTCATGAAATTTTACAATTTTTTTTTTTGCTAATTGAAAAAGAGGTTTATCGATCCGTTCCGCATTATATTCCCTTTATCTATATTAAAAATCCAATCTACTTTAAAAAAAAAAACAACATACCACCAATTTTATTGAAAAATGAACTCAATTTCACTGCATACCATCATAAATCTAACGCCGCCATAATTTACTAATCAGATTATAGAACATCGAACCTTAAACCGATTCATGAACTCAAAACAAAAGTAACACTTTCATATTAATTAATTAATTAATGGGTGAGTCTATTGACACCTCATATTTTACTTTTCACACATTCTTAAACCACCTCTAATTTTACTTGTTACATCCCTTTTAAAATTTCAAAAAAATATCTACAACTAAATCCCTTCATATTCTACTTTTCACACACACATTCTTAAACTACCCTCTATTTTACTTGTTTAACCTCTTTTAAATTTTTTTAAAAAAAATCCCTACAACTAAATTGTATAATTTTTCGTTGATAAAATTTAAAATGTTTATCATTTTCTTTTATTTTTTTTAAAGATAAAATGTGCTCTTTTTTTCCTAAAAATACTTCACGTGCCCTTATTATTTTTTTTATATGTTCTTGCACTTTTTATTATGATTGAATAAATTGTATAGAAAAATTGCAATCAACTTGACGGACATTATTTTGTATCTTACCTCTTTCTCACTCAACTCGATAGCAATTCCTCATAATAATGATGCCACAATAAACAACTTAAACCTCGTATACGTGTGCGTGTGTGTATATATATTTGAAAAGAAACTAAAAATAATAATAATGAGGAAAAAAGGAAATACAATGGACGAGAGAAATAAGATTCTTCCAAAAAAAAAAAAAAAAACAGACCAAAGAAAACAAATTAAAATAGTGTTTATACGATTAGCAGAAAACAGAGAGTTTATACAATTAATATCTATAAATAATCTATGTTAATAGAGTTTTTAAAAATCCATCCATGTTACTTTGAAAAAAGTATTGGAAATAATAAATTTTTTTAAGAGGGTGTGTAATGAGTATTTTTTTAAAAAAAATAACTATCGTTCTTTAGAGAGTAATTTTATTAATGAATACTTCAATAATAAAAAATTTTATTTAATAAAAATGCGTGAAAAATAAAATTATGAGTGTCCACGGCAGGCGCGGTATTCCTGTTTCCTGGCCGCGTCCTAAAAAAAAAAAAAAAAAAAGAAAAAGAAAACAAACCTTGCAGGGATTTTCATTTTCTTCCTCAGAAGCGCGTGGAAGTTTCCAAGAAAAGGGAAGCACAGGAGTCCATCACGTGGTACTCTCTCTCTTTTTCTCCTAATTTCACTCGGCTATTTCCGACAGCTACAACTCTAAAATTCTAATATAATTAATTCCTTTTTTTATTCTTTTTTTTTGTTTTTTTTGTGCTTCTTTGCCTAACTCATTTCTTTATAAATACCAGAAAGCTTTGGCTCAAAACAAACCCAATTACACCCCACACCTTATATATATATATATATATATATATATACACATATATACATATATAGATGAGCAAGAGAAAAATAAATTATAACAATAATATGGAGATTCCTGGGTTTAGATTCTATCCAACAGAGGAAGAACTGGTTGTGTTCTATCTCCCAAACAAGATTGAACGAACGAGAGAAGAGGTTATGGACAAGGTTATACCTGAGCTCAACATATACGACTACAGTCCTTGGGATCTCCCACGTAATCATCAAAATTTTTGCTTCTCATCATCATCATTTTTATTTCCCCTTTCATTTCTGTAATAACATTAATTTCCTTTAATCTCTCTCTCTTTCTCTCTCTCTCTCTATATATAGATATATGTATATGTATATTTCTATCTTAGCCTTAAAGGAGTAGTACTTTAATTATATACACTTACATTCCGATTCATGAGGAATATACATATGATGTGTGTGTGTGTGTGTGTAGAGAGAGAGAGAGAAAGGATTTAGAAGACATACACACACACACACACACACCATGTATGCTCAATCGTCGCGTTCCTGATCAGAAAATTTGAAACTACGTTTCTATGTATAAGTAATATAGCTTTGGAATATATATACATAGAGAGAGAGAGAGAGAGAGAGAGAGAGAGAAATAGAGAGAGAGAGAGAGAGAGAGAGAGAGAGGAATATGAATATATAGCATGATTATTCCATGAAATACGAAATCCAAATTTTCGTTATTTGCAAGTATTTCTGAATTCTGAAGACTAAATTTGAAATATTTTGGGATTTTCCTTTTATTTTATTTTATTTTTTCATTAGAATATTCAGGAGTTCTGTGCCGAGGAGATCCGGAGCAATGCTTCTTCTTCATACCGAGGCAAGAGAGCGAAGCCCGGGGAGGGAGACCGAGCCGGCTGACAGAGGGCGGATACTGGAAGGCGACCGGATCTCCGAGTTTCGTCTTCTCTTCGAACAATCAGACAATCGGCTTGAAACGGACGATGGTTTTCTACACCGGAAGAGCCCCAAACGGGGTAAAAACACAGTGGAAGATCAACGAGTACAAGGCTACTCAAGGAGATCAACCCTCTTCAATTTCTTCAACTGGTGCAAGTGCTAGTACTAGTACCACTACTCCTATGGTAAATTAATTATTTAACATCCAAACCTAGCTTTTAATTTCGTAATTCTCTCTCTCTCTCTCTCTCTCTCTATATATATATATATATATGTATATAAGCGCATGTAGATCAATTAGGTCATAAGTTCTCTAATCAAGTATTTATTCGGATTATAAATATATATAACCGTTATTACACTCACACACATGTATCATATATATAGCTTTCCTGGCTAAACTTCTTGCAAGTGATCGATTGCTTTTCTCACGCTGATCATGATATATATATATATATATATATATATATATATGTATGTATGTGTGTGTGTGTGTGTGTGTCTCGTGAAATGGGATGGATACGATCAAGAGTTTTTGAGCGGCGTCCTTAAAGATCATATACTTATTTTGGCATGTGAAACCCTAAATATTTCCAACAAACCCTAAAAATTGTTATATTTCTGTCAGTGGAGAAAAAATATAGAATTAATACGTTTATTGTAGGCACATATTACACGAAAGCGTGTGACTTAATCAAAACTTACTATCACACATGCACATATATATTGATTGATAATATGATGTGTGTATATATATGTATATATAGCATGTGATATAACCATATTGTTTATAGATCTCCGAGACATATTTCTATCGGTAAATTACTAGGATTAAAATCCATGAGATACAATATTATTATATAACCATGGTACAGATGCCCAAGTACCAACAAAAAATATAACTATATCGGCAAATTAATAGATTAGAAATTCATGATGTTTTACTAGCTACTTTAGATTTCAAGCATGTGTTTTGAATAAGTAGCAACCTTTTTTTCATCTTACAAAATTTCACCAAATTAGTTAATTAGTGTTATATTTTGTGCATGTATATGTATTTGCAGTTAAGACAAGAATTTAGCCTTTGCCGAGTGTACAAGAAAACAAAATGCTTGAGAGCATTTGACAGGAGGCCTGCTGGAATGGAAATCACAATTAGCAATAATCCCGCAATTAATCTTCAGTACGATCGCCCAGAGGAGCCTTCGACGTTATCTCATCAGGCCCCTCCTCCGGCTGCAGCGGAGAGAGGAGGCTCACACGATGACAGTTCCTCCTCGGGAGGAGGAGGAGGAGGAGGCGACGGTGGCTACCAGCCCTCGCAAACTGGAGAAAATGATTACTTGAACTTTCCAATGGATACTGATGAGAGTCAGGCTTTGTGGGACTGGGATCATTTCTTCTAATTAATTAGGAGATAACCAAATTAATGGTATAAGAAGAAAATAACAAGATCTTAATGATCAGCTCAAAATATGTAGGGGAATTTTGCCTGCTTTAATTAAAAGGCTGTGCATATAACTACCCAAAGAGCTTTTAACTAATTAGTTACAATATTGTATAAGAGCTATCTAATAAGGCTAGCTCTTGCTACTAGATATAATGAAGAACTCCATGATTGGACTTAATTGTTATCTTATATATATGCAGCCTAGGATTGTACTGATCACCCGTTAAAAATAATGTCATGTATGAAGTACTTTATATATATGCAGCCTAGGATTGTATTGATCACCCTTTAAAAATAATGTTGTGTATGAAGTATCAATAACATGTTGAAAGTTAACATGTCAACATTAATTTCCTTGCCTTTTTCTGAGTGTTTGTTTCCGATTCAATGCTTTATTTATAGTCGAGCTTATATAAAATGGGTTGTTGATGGAGGCAATTCAACTTAAAGGGGATACATAGTACAATGAATACTTGCTGAACTTACTCTTATAGTGCATGGATCTAGAGTTTTTTACCTCTTACTCTTGATTAACACAATTTTAACTAATATAATTATTTGAGTAAAAAAAATATTACTCAAGAGTAAGAGATAAAAATCCAAATCCATTATTTTAAGGGGTATTTGTCTCCTTTTTCCATTTTCATTTACAAAACAAAACAAAACAAAAAAAAAAAAAAAACCTTTGTGCTAAGGCCTTTTTGGAAACCTCTCTCCCTCTTTCTTCTCTCTTTCTCTCTTGTTGAAACGATTTCTCTTTGCACTTTGCGGTGTATTTTTTTATATTCAATTCTATATATGGCTACAAGTGGGGTGCGTTTGGTGGGGGAAAGGAATGGAAAAGAAAGGAAAGAACCCTAATTCTAATGTTTGGTTGGCTAAAACTTATGGAATAACTATTCTCTTGGAATGACGTTTCCTCCATTTTAGTGGAATTGTCATTCCTCCCTCAGATGGCATGAATGACGATTCCAATCAAGATTCATCTCTTTTTCCTTTTATGTCCTTATTTTTTTCACCGTCATCTTCAACCAAGACCCATCACCATTATCTTCAACCAAGACCAACTACCTCCCTCTGCTCCATTATCCTTCTTCGACCCAGATCCAGCGCCTTCGTTGTTCTGGTGAACTTGAGTCTTCTCCGCCGTCATCCCTTGCCCAAACTGCCTCCGCCCAGTGCCGCCCACAAACAAATCATCCTCCTCCACTCTCACACAAATCTGCCTACACCTAGGCTGACGAAATCCACCCTATCCTCTCACATAATCCAAAATTCTCGTCAACCAAAATGGAAAAACCCAAAAACTTGTCTTCATTTCAAATTCATGAACTAAAGAACCAGAAATCTCATGAACATAAAAATTCTAAAAACTCATTAGATTGTTGGCCACCATAAATCTCAAACATTGTTGTCACCGTGAGAATTATTGACGATTTTTCTTGGATTGGAAAAAAAAAAGAAAAAAAAAAGCTTCATAAAAAGGCACACATGACACCACCAAAAAAGAAGCCACACGAGCCATTATTGCTCTGGGTTTATATAGGTTTGGGAGTGAGAGAGACGTGTTAACTCATATTCCTTTCTATCGTATTTGTAAAACCTTAATCAAACAATTTAATTATCTTTCTTTTCCATTCTATTCCGTTACTATTACTATTCCTATTACCATTACCATTTCACCACTATAACCAAACACACCCGTAGGGTACAAAGAATAATATTATATTTAATGAAAAACTTTTTAGCTAATTAAATTGATAATCTAATTATGATTTCTTTTTCCTTAAACTAAGGTTTTTTTTTTTTTAATAACTCTTACATTTTGAGAAGAGTATAAAAAAAATGTTCTTAAGATTAGATTTCTCAATTTCAAGCTATAGCTAAGAAGGATAAATTCGTTAATTAGTATTTAATTGTAGATTTATCTATAAGCTATCAAGAGTAAACTTGTCAATTCAATAATCAAATAAGTTATTGACCAAAAATTTATAAATTCAACATGAATCTAAAGTTTATATGTACAATCTTGAGAGCATAAAAACATAAGGTATACAAGAATATAAAATGCATCATGCATTAAAAAATAAAGAAGAAAATAACACCTACGGACTAGAAAAATAAAAAGAATTCACTAATAAGTAACATTATTAATAGCCCATAACTATCAATCTCTTAAAACTAAGAGATTTCTTAAATTAAAAATAAATACGATTAGATTTAAATTATTGCTAGAGATAGCAATGTATAAAACTCAACTTTTTGCAATAAGAGAAAAAGGAAATGTACAAAAATCAACTTTTTCTAGTATATAAAAGGAGATATATCAATGTAAAAAAGTCGATTTTTTCTTTCTTCCTTGATTTTTCAAGGCATGCATGCACATAGCAATATGCAAAAATCAATTTTCTTTCTTTGATTTTCCATAGTATGCACATGCCGATGAAAATAGGGGTGTGCAACTAGAACGCGCAAACCACTTATTTTAAGTCAATTGCAAACCAAATTAATTATAAATTGGTTTTGAGATTTTCTAACTAAATCAAATCACTTAAATAATCAAATCCAAACTAAACCAAACCAATTACAATTGATTTCTTCTGATTTTTTATTTGATTTGAACTAATATTAATCATTTTGTTCTCAAGCATAATCAGAACCAAAACTTTACTATAATAAAAATTTATTTATCACTCAATAAATATTCATAACTTAAGAAATAAATACTCAATTCACAACAGGAATAAATCATCTAATGTTAGATTTTTTTTCATCGATAACAAAAATAAAATATTCAAATCCGTTTAGATAAAAAAAATACCAACAAATTGATCTATCATAAAATAGTGATAAAATAATTGAAAAATGTATGGAATACATATAATTTTTCAAAATATATACGAATAAAAGTTGGTTTGGTTTGGTTTGATTTGTTTTCTTTTTTAAAAAAAGTAAAACCACAAATCAAACCAACTTATAAATTAATTAGTTTTTAAAAACTGAAACTAAATCAAACCGATTAGTATTTAGTTTGGTTTGGTTTTACTTCGGTTTGATTAGTTTGGACGGTTTAATACACACCTAAATATAAAAGATACCATTCTAAATTAATAGGTGACTACCAATGTTTTAAGAACTAATTAAAACAATCTAAGGAATCAAGAATACCCATTATACTCTTGGAGATCAGATGTCTGTAAGTCTTGGTTACTATTGTGCGGTTCTAATTCAAAGTCTAATGGAAAATCTGCTCAAATTGTTGTCCACATCATGTATGACTACAAGAAAATTAAATTAAGAAATAATAATTACATGATCAAGGCTATATTAGCCAGTGTACCTCGCCTTATAATAATCTTCTTTCATGCATAGAAATTAACAACACTAAAAACGTTTGCAAAGACTCGATTCACTCAGGCATACTCTTAAAACCTGCAGCAATACTATTCAAACACAAATTATTTCATTCATAGAAGTGATGAATTTTTGTCAAATACCGATCATAAAGTCTTCAACAATTTATTAACTTTTTTCCCTTCAAACACCTTTTTATGGCCATACATCAACATTACTATATACGGAAACTCACGTAATTTTATACGTCCAAACAGAGAAATAAAGCTTCATTGACAGCAGAATTTTGTGGTAGGACCTATAAAAAAAAGTTACTGATATGTTTTTATTTTTCAGTTATTAAATCTGTATAAAAAATTATATATATTTTTATTTTAATCTAAGAGTCAGAAATATGCAAACATACACTATCAATGTGACTCCGAAGAAATTTCTTTTTGTCTAGTACTGTTGGTCGTCTGTGTATCTTCCAAAGACTTCCCTTCATTTATTGACGAACATAATAAGGCTTTAACATATGACCAAAATTATAAGTACTGTTGATACCAGAATTTCTCACACACCGATGGTCTATCGGCGAAGTATTGTCCCCACTTTGATATCAACAAGTACCAAACGACAATTGTAGGGCCACGTGCGTGCGTAAGAAGGTGGCATAGAGAAGCTTAAAAAACAAGTGCAACACAACATAATATCTCAAAAGAAAGCGACTGAAACCGATGGGGCTGCATGAAAATGTGAGGAGAGAGAGAGAGAGAGAGAGAGAGAGAGAGAGAGAGAGAGAGAGAGAGAGAGAGAGAGAGAGAGAGAGAGAGAGAGAGAGAGAGAGAGCGAGCGAAAAGACGAAAAAAAAAAAAGGGGAAAAAAAAGGGGGAAAAAAAAAAAAAAAAAAAAAAAAAGCAAGGAACAATAAACGAATAAATGTTGGCTTTGTCTTCTTGGTTAGTCTTTCTTTAATTTCTATTTGTGATTAGTTTTTCAATTACCATTTCGTCGTTTAGAGTACTATCTGCAAATGTGAAAATTAAAGGAGAAATAAGAACAAGAAGAGAAGGAAAAGATTAATGTTATTTAGCAATACGCCAAGAGAAACTACCGGCCATAAAATAGTCAACAATGTACCAACTTAAATTTCTAAGGGAAACAATAAATTAATACAGTAATTATATTTTTATGTTTGGTCTTACGAATTGATTCAAAGTTAGATGATATTAAAATAATTAGAAGTGATAATAATTGTTGTTTATAATAAAACAGCAACACTCCACCTCAAACTTACGAATTACAATATTATTGTTTCTAAGTTATTAAACATGTGCAAAAAACAAGGTCCAAAGATCTCTTTTATTATCTTTATCTTTCTAGAGCGGTATAATTGTACCTAGGAATTTGATTAAATATGCAAAATCACATCATATTCACAACTCACAAGCAAAGGAAATTAGACTCTTTTTATAAACTTAACCCTCGTTTATTTCGCCAACTCGAGTTTAGAATTCGAGTTTTGTTACAGTAAAAATGTCTCAAAAATAGTCACATCTAACTTTTTTGCTACAGTAAAAGCTCTCACATAGAATCACATCTTAACTCGAATTATAAACTCGAATCAGCGAAGTAAACAGGCCTTTATAATGCTAAATTAACGCAAAGGAATAGATATGAAAGCAAAGAGGTGAAATAGAATTACTTTCTCTAATTCTTTTTCCTTCTTTCCTTGGCTACTTCTCTCTTCTTCCATGTAATTTAATTTCTGTCTGATAGTACTCAGGTCTTCATCGAAGAAATTGAGTCTTCAAGTGTACTTTCAAGAATTATTTAGGCATCGTTCACTTCGCGGATTCGAGTTTTCAATTCAAACTGAGATGTGATATTTTATGAGAGCTTTTCACTGTAGTAAAAAAAGTTAGATGTGATATTTTCTGATAACTTTTTACTGTAGAAACCTAAGACTGAAAACTTGAAAAATAATATTCACAAACCAGGGCCCACACCCTTGTGTTTTAGCGTGTAATACTTAAAATTATTCTCTTTACTTTTATGGTTCTTCTATTGGTGTCCGTGCATGTTAATTTGTAGTAGTTAAATCTTGTTAAAATACAATATATATATATATATATATAATTTTTTATACAAATTTAACGAATAAAATATAGATCTATCGATAATTTATTTTTTTCAGGTCCAAACATAAGTTTTAAAATGATGAACTACTGCTAATTTTTTACTTTCAACCGTTAAATTTAATCAAAATCATATTAAATTAGAAAAGATATGCAGAATATACAAATTTTAATACAAATCTAATGGTTAAAAGTGAAAAACTATCTGTAATTCATTTTCACTTTAACCTACCAGAGAATAATAGTTGGCAAGACTTTTATCTTTCCCTTTTTTTTCCTTGATGTAGTGAATTACAGGTTGTTCTTGTAATTTTGAGTTAGGGTGATTTGAGTTATGATCTTCAGTTGAGTTTGAGTTATAACTTGAGTTGAAGTTGTAACTTGAGTTTGTGTTTGGATGTGTACATTTAAGTTATGATTTGAATTGATAATCTTTTTGAGTTTGTGTTTGGATGAGTCAAAACTTAAATTTGTATTTAGATAGTATTTTAATAAAAACTCAATAGTATTTTAATAAAAACTCAATGGTGATGAAAAATTGTAATAGGGTATATGGAGGAGGTTTTATTCGTCTTTTCGTTGTGAATGCATAGAAAAAAATCATCTCAATCAGAATTAAAATGAAAAAGTTATGACATTTTTAAGAATAGAAAAAATATTGTTCATTAACTTGAGTTCGAGTTTATGAACTCAAGTTTAAGGAGAAATTTGAACTCGAGTTTAACCTCAAACTCGAGTTCTAACTCGAGTTCAAACTCAAATTTTATAAAAAAATATGAATTTAAATAAAATTGTAATTCGAGTTTAAACTTTTTCTGAGTTTCGTTGCAAACGAACAACCCCTTATAGTCTTATCTTCTACATGCATGCACCAAAGTTAACTTTTATATGATTAGTCGTTTATGCTTCAAAGCAAATTATTGGATGTATCCTTTTAGATGCCAGTTATATCAAGACGTCCTATTATTAGATTGTTGCAATCTTCGTGGAAAAACAAACGTGGCCATCCCAAGACTTTCACAAACAGATAAACTATTCAAAACTTTTTGCCTTTTTTAAATTATTTTAGTAAAAATAGCCGGAAAAAAACCCAAAAAAAAAAAACGCCCTAAAAAAAACACTATAAAAAAACCCTCCAAAAAAACTTAAAAAAAAAAACTCTCAAAAAAACACCAAAAAAAAAAACCCCTCAAAAGCACCCCACTAAAAAAAACCCAAAAAGACCCTATATAATACTAAATACTAGGTTTTAGCTCCAAAAATACACACACACGTTATAGACACGGAAAGAAGCTGGACTGCGCGTCTTCGAAACAGACGTTCTAGGACAAAAAAAGTTGATTGGTCATTGAATCTGAGCTTATCTCGAGAGAGGAAAAGAAGGATAATAATAGGATGAAAAATGTGTATTGTATATTCTCTCTCTTATCTGTACAGAGACAACTTTCTAGGGCCCGTTTAGTTCGCTGATTCGAGTTTTTAATTTGAGTTGAGATGTGACTTTATGTGAGAACTTTTTACTGTAGCAAAAAAGTTAGATGTGATTGTTTATGAGAGCTTTTTAATGTAGAAAAACTCAAATTCTAAACTCGAATGAGCGAAATGAACATGGCCTTTATATATATCTTGAAAGTGTGAAACAAAATTACAACTCAAAGTCTAATAACTTAACAAAAACTGTTATAAAAACATTCCAGCTAGCTATCCTAAAATTGGTCGTCGGACTTTTGACTCGTGGAAATGAAATGGAAATTACTTTGTTGTTTGCAAAGACGTGACAGAGGTCCAGTAGAATCTAGTTCACGGTTCACGATGTTACCACCAAATTAGTTATCCTGGAGAAATTGTGTATCATGTAGGGTCTGTGTACGTACCTTTTTGGTCCACAATCCACAAATGCACCCTAATTTTTACTTTTGTCCCCTACAAATCATGGTTCAGTAAATTATTCCTTAAATTTTTAATTTTGATAAATTATCTCATCAGCTTATAAAGTTATTATAATATGCGCTATTTTAACGACAATTATATTAAATTAGTGTAAAAAAAACACGTTCAGTCAAAATTTTTAACATTTTAATTCAAATGTAACACAAATTTTTCAATATATCAATATTTAATTCCTTAAATCTAATAAAAAATTTGAGCAAATTTAGTTAAATTGGGCACATTGCAACAAATTTATAAATTCGGACGGCAATTTGCTAAAATTAAAAGTTTAAGGGGCAATTTGTTAAACCACGACAAGTTCGAAGGGCAATTGTGCCAACAACTCTTTTTATTTTAGTGTTTAAAATTTATAAGTTCTTACATAAAATTTACAAGTTGTCATATTTTGTTAAAATTCACAAGTCTTTAGTAACTTACTTAAGTCTAATGTTTAAAGTTAGCTAATTCCAATGTAAAATTCACAAGTTATCGTATTTCTAATACGGTATGAAAAATTTTGTCCCGGCACCATACAAGTTCCCGTATTAGATAAGGTTAAAAGAAAATTGAAGAGTCTTGAAAAGTAAATTTATCATACTTTAGTTTAGAGTTGGTGTCCCTAACATCTCTTTGAGACTTGTTTGATAATAATTAGCAGTTTAGTTGTCCTTTACTAAACTTTACTTAAAAACAAGTGAAAATTTCTGTTTTGGAGTTTTTCAAAATAGGATATCTCAGTGCATATTTATAAACATTAAATTTGATCAGAATCGTAACAAGATGAAAACATATACAAAATTAAACCTGGTTATGATAAATGTTTAACAACAAGTAATGCTAGAAGCATCAGCTCTCAATTATTGCAACAACTATTTGAGTTTTCATTAATTTGTTGGTAAGGATAATCTTTTTTTTTCTATTAATTGATAGGATTATTATTACTAGTGCCCTTGATCTTTAATGTCATTTCCTATTTACTCCATTAACTTTAAAAACTCTCATTTTGACCCTTAAATTTAGAATTATTCCCGCTTAATCTCTTATGTTGAAATTTCTCTTAAAAAGATAGAAAAAAAGAGTGATACAATCACATGCTCTTTCCATTTAAATATATGTTAAAAGTAAATAAATAAAAACTAAGGCCCCGTTTACTTCACCAATTCGAGTTTAGAATTCGAGTTTTGCTACAGTAAAAAGCTCTCACAAACAATCACATCTAACTTTTTTACTATAGTAAAAAGCTCTCACATAAAATCACATATCAACTCGAATTACAAACTCGAATCAGCGAAGTGAACGGACCCTAAATCACCACATTCAGTGACGGAGCCAGCTTTTCACTTCAGTGGGAGTGTACACTAAATTTTTTTTAACAAATTACTTTGGTGGGGGTATATAAAAAAACATATTTATTTTAGTGAGGACATATATTATGTCAATGGGGGCTTAAGTATAAAATTTTTAAATTTTTAAAGGTAATATTTTTTCAAAAAAATTTGAGTGGGGGTGGCTGCCCCCACTCATCTTCAAGTGGCTCCGCCACTAACCACACTTAATTCTTATTTTTTTTAATATGATTTTAATAGAAATTTTTACAAAATGACTTAAATTATACAAATAAAAAATTTAGACGATAAAGACAACAAAGTAAGAGTTTTTAAAGTTTAATAGTCAAACTAAGAATAACCCTAAAATTTAATAAATAAGAGTGGTAAGTGATAATAAACACCTATCAACAAAGCAATGACAACTTATCAGTTGGTACAAAAGCTAGTATTAGAATAGTGTCTTCAGTATTAGAAGACGTTTGATTCATGGATTAGATTACGTGTATTTTTTGTGAGAGAAAATAGATTACGTGTATTTTTTATAAGAGAAAATGCTTCGGGTACGAATCCCCCAACCAAACAACTCCTTAATCATCCTGAAAACAAAATCCTAGAAAAGGTAACTGTTTCAAATTTTGAAGGATTGCTAAGTATAGATCTGTAAAAGCTTACAAAACAGTCAGTTTAAACCATTAGTTCATCAAACTTGAAGCAGAGAATTGCAAAACCAAGAAACGGTCCCATCACATCACACCATTTATGATTATTAGTCTTCATTGTCAGAGAAATAAGTGTCAACTACATAGCAGTAGTATTTACCCTGTTAAGCAGCAACCTGATGCTGTGCGCAAAGTAAGCATAGCACAAAAGTTTGCCAAACAGCAAAAAGGAAAAAATTGTCGAACTGAAAATTCAAGTAATATACAAGGAATACTTTACAACGTAGGAAATTCTCACTTCGCCCAGTAAGCAAATTATAGCGCTTGCAAGTGTTCTACCATAATCAGTCCCAATGATCACCAGTATAGGAACTTTGTTCTTTTTCCTGGTAAACCAACCAAGTACGAGAACTTAGGTCGTTTGATGCTTGTTAGTTACCAATCATCTTCCAGACTCGCGTGGTGGAAACACAAGACAGTGCAGACAAAGATGATGAACGACACAAACTCAATGAACATAGCTCCTGTAGAAATCATATGAGCATGCCTAAGGATGATGGGAATCGCTATGCTCCCCACACTCGACGCTCCAGTCAAAAATTTAGCAGCACCGATCCACCTGAATCATGCAAATTCAAATAAATAAACAGATAGACAAGCAAATCAGACTGGAAAGTGGTAATCCATAGCTGTTTATTCTTTCGAAGAACAGCTTAAGCGTTGATTACAGTGTAAGTTGATGGTGCAAGAATGAGAGTCCGAACAAAAGAGTAAAAAGGCAAACTCAAAACAAATGCGGATTTACTCGCGTTCAGACAGGGTTCAGATTTTCTTGAGAATTAAATTCATACATAAAACTAAATGTAACCAATGCTCTCAAGCATATCATTCAATGATGTTGATCAGCAAATAGACGTCATCAAACAGACGAGTCCAATGAATATTAGAAAGAGTAAACTGGTGCATAACACAATGTACTTTGGCATAAGGATGGCTGCCTGTAAAGCTACCTATAAGGCAAATAAAAAATATAGTAGGATAAACTAAAAATGTAACCAAAAGAACTCTTATGTAAGTTAAGCAATCAGACCCAAGACGACTCACCCCCCGCTGTCCCTGCTAGTTAAAAATTGAGTGGTCCCACCACCAAAGAATAAGCAAGGCATAGGTACCAGCACATACATGAGAGCTGTAAGTATAACCAAATGATCATATCAACACACAGCCATGCAAACACAAATATAGTATAGACGACATGTTATGAAAGTAGCCTCAATCAACCTGTTAACATTGGCCACCAATTGTTGTATAATGCACAAGCCTGCCACAGAGAAAAGATGAATTACGATAACAACTAGCAGCTAAGAAATAACATGCATAACACCAAGCCATCAAGAAAAAGAAAAACCATCTCAGGTCTTTCTCACATCTGCTCCTTTCGTGATGACGACTCACCAATGTTATAGTTGATATTGGTATAACGGGTATGAGACCAATTAGAGCTTTTACCAAAACAACACAACAGAAGATCACTAAAATAAAACACACATTTTATTATCAAACTTTCTTTCAACACCAATGCCCTCATGCATGACATTTACCTCAGACAATTACAAGTCTCTCATACATACTAGGACACACATAAACAGTATAACCCACGCTCACTGAGACACACACGTGTCACCCACTTGTATATCACAAACTACACATCACACTACTTCACTATTCACTCCACATATGGGTGTGCACTCCACTCTACATCTCTCACTAGAACAGTTACATCACATGTATACTCCACTCACTAACACTATCTTAACAGGACAAACACAAACAGCCCGCTGAGACCCAAGGTCTCTTTAGGCTACCAAACTTGATGACTTGCCGACTTAATGAAGCTTCATGTGTGTCAGTACAGTTTTCTGACTTTGCTAACATGAAAATCACATTGATTACAAACCTTAAGACTAAAACAAGAATAACACAACCAGACCGACTAAAGCAAGATAAAAAACTATGCGGAAAAATGGAAGTTCCAAGCTTGGACACATCTGGCAGATTTGTGTTGAAACTACTACTTATATTTTAAAAAGTATGACATGCACATATATGAGTGCTATTCCAAAATCAACAAACTATTAGGTGGATCTTGAAGGAATTGGCAGTTTAATAAACACTTATACATATCTCAACATGGACCCTATTATCTTAAATCTGACTTGCATTATTATTCTGCAAGACATCAGTCAATGTTTTCTCAAACACACAAACATAACTATACATGAAATAATATATGATATCATAAATAGTGGCATCTATCACATGAAAATTAACTACAAAAAATCTTTAAATTGCTAATTTAAATAAAAAAATTATGGTATCAGATGACTACCACCAGATTACTACAAGTCAAAGGGTGATAACCTACCAGGATCTGTAGCAAGATGCTAGACGAAAACATAAACGCAAGCCCAGCAAGACTGCACAATAAAAAGTTAATGTTAGAAGCTTAGCTTACTTGAATTGCAAAAGTCAAAATCAGAGAACCAAAATTCCTCACTTACACTGCAATGATCAAGAACCATTAGAAATTTTCCAGGGCAGCAACGCAGAAAAACAAACACAATTAGTGCTATGCATCATAAGCAAAGGGTGAATAATAGACAAGCTAAAATGGCGTAAAAGAAAATGCAAAATGGAAAGCTTAAAACTACCTACAAGAATAGGATCAGTCTTCGGACAAATATGAAGTTAAACAACGATAAGTATTGATCATTTTTATACTTCACTCAGCTATAAACTACCACCTTTAAGCCACCAGATCATATATTTGTTCAACCATGCACAGAATTTCAGTCCGCTAAACATGTAAAGTCATGAAATAACCATTTCCAAAATCAAATTTCTGGATTTACAATATGATTTTGGATAATATTCAACTTTCTACTTTCAAAATTGCACTATTTTCACAGAGGATTATCATCATCTGTTAAAATTTTAGTTTTACATTTGCCAGAATTGACAAGATCTCAATGTGATAATGCAGACTTAAGCGAAAAAGACTGCCTCAAACTCAAACACATAAAACTTCCAATTTTCCAACTAATCTTCTAACCTCTGATTTCTTCCAGGGAAGAAAAAAAAAATTACAAAAATAAAACCGATAAAGTGCAAAGTGCCAATGAAAGATTGCCTCTTCCGCAGAAATTTCAAAGCAATTTGCTTTCTTCCGTATTTTCCCCGGAACCAAACAGAAAGCACAGCAAGCGAACTGCCAGCATCGGCGTCAAACCCTAACAAACCACCATCAACCTTCGCCGAATCAACCTCGTTTCTAGAATCTGCTAAAACGTCCACTAAAATCCCCAAATTTACCAATCCCTAGATGAGAACAACAATCTAGAAGAGCAAATAACCAATTTCTCTATATTCTTCGAACTATGCACAAGATCCCTCTTCGAAATTCGGAAATTGAGAACGTACCTTCAATGGTCATCGCCATTATTGCGAACGGTAAGAGGTTCCTTGCTTCGGTTGCGATCAGGGACGTTTTATCGTTTGCAAATAAAGAAGAAAACTTTTTTTTTTTTTTTTTTTTTTATTGAGAAGGAAAGAAAGAAGAAAACTTGGAGCCGAGAAATGGCCAAGGCAAAAGACGAGTTTTCTTTGCGGGTTCTGTTTCTGGCTGCGGACTTGATCTCTGTGCTCATTCATTTCGAGTTTTATTATAATAAAAAATTTTAAAAATAATCAGATTTAATATTTTTATTATAATAAAAAATTTTAATATTAAATCACATCTTAATTTAAATTAAAAATTTAAATCAACAAATTAAATAAATCTTAAATTAAATTATTACCGGCTATGCCACCTCAACAAGTTTTTATTTATTTATTTATTTATTTGGTTAAAGTGTGAAGGTGGACTATTAGAGTTACAAGTTTTAAAAATAATATTTATTCCCATCAGATCAAACACAATCACTCATAAAATAGTAAATCTAGGACTAACCTTTTATAAGTAGCAGGACCCATCAAGATGAACTAGAGTGTTCTGCAAGTGTTTGGGCCTATTAGTTTTGGGCTGACTCAAAGGGCTAGCTTGGAATCTGTTATTATGGGTTCGTTCCTCAACTCTCAGGCTTGATTTATACTTAAGGCCCAAAAGTCTTTTCAGATAGATCCGTCTCGGCGAACTTTTTATTTATTTTTTGAAAATAGTAAAAAATAAGTCAATATGAAAAGTTTAAGAAAATATATAAATCAATTTTTAGTTATAGAAATTAATAAATCATAACTTGTTAAGTTATGGTTCATAACCAGATAAGTTATGAACAAACTTGTCAAGTTATGGTTCATATCCAGACAAGTTGTGGATAAAAACCATGAATTATGGACAATAACTTATCAAGTTATGGTTCATAACCAGACAAGTTATAGATAAAAACAATAATTTGGCCTATTTATTAACTTATGTAAACTATTGGCCCATTAATTTTAATTCATATTAAGTCTTGACCTATTTCCCTCTTTTTTCCTTTATTTTTATTAAAATTCCCTTTATAAAGGTCAATGCTTGGTCGATCTTTTTTCTTTTAAGGCTGACCCGGTCCGACTCGCTCTTGAAGTTTCCATTTGGGTTGCCAACTAGATGGCACGAACTTTCAAATCGAGACTGTGATTCCTACTTTATATAAATGAATTCAAATTTTGATAGATATACACAAACGCTCACACCTAATCACTTGAGCTTTATAAATTTTGAAACTTTATAAATTTGAAACTTTTGTTATTTTCACTTTCTAGTTATTGAATTTTGGTTTTCCTTTATTAATTAAGTCTATAAATTTCTTTAAAAATTTGATAATAATATAACTTGTTGTGTCCTTGAATTTTTTGCTATTTCAACTTCGTTGATTTTATTGAAAGAAAAAAATTGCTAATAATACAACTTGATTGATTTTCTAAACTTTTAAGAGTTCTAAGTTATTAAGCAAAGAAATAACAACCCATTCCGACTCCACATGAGACTAACACACTTGATTGATCTCAGCCGTTGTCCACACCACATCTCTGTTGAGAATGGTGTTCTATAAGCATAAGATGTAATAGGATATTTATTATTTATTTAATAAAAGAATTTATTCATTATTTTATGTGCATATATTTATGAATATTTTATGAATATCAATAAAAATTTCATGGTTATTTATGTAACCTTAAACATTGTATATAAGTGTTATATACGAGAGGATAATGTTTAAGGATAATAATAAAAAAACAATGTTCATAATGAATTTAATTAAAGTTTGGAATCTTTAATTAAAACATTATTAATACATGTCATTCTCATTTAGAATGGAACGGTGTTATCCGCACTGTTAATATGGCGAGATATTGAATGAGTGTATTTCGCATAATGAGATTATGTGGAACAAGGACACAGACACAATATGAATTTCTAATAATTCCGTTAAGTATAGAAATTCTAATTGAGTCTACCGATGGTCATATATAGGATGATCTTAATCATGAGTTCTTAACAGACTCCTATTTATGGATTTGTGTCTTTTGATTTACTCGGTACGGATTCTGAGATCTTGAATCATATTCCTTGTATTTTGGAGACATGATGAAGTAGGTAGCCGGGAATGTTATTACACGAGATGGAATCCATTCCTTCTTAAGAAAGAAGTAGATAAATAATTCTCTTGAGGGTTGATTCAGTACTTGGACCAGTAGGAGCTCCGATTCATAAATGTGTTTTATGAATCACTGTCCATTAGAGAATCAATGGTACTCAAGGATAAAG